AAAAATATTATATTTATTTCCACCTTTGTACGGTTATGATTTTCCATAGTCTTTGTTGAGTTATGATTTTTCACATTTAATATTTAACACTATAAAACGACGTAATTTTATATCACTGCACCAATCTTTAGGTGCAGTCACTGTATATCTGCTAAACCCTATATATACATATATATATATAGGGGTTTGCATTTGTCATTTAACATGACACAACAAACTTTCCTACACACACAATATTTTGTGAGGCCCACACATTTTAAAGAAGAAAAAAAACTACGGCACGCAAAGCGAATCTCTATAACATTACACAATCATTTTTCCTACAACATAACTCATATAAAACTCTTTTATATATATATATATATATATATATATAGGTGATACAATTATTTAATTATATAGTTGTAATTTAGTAAGTGTTTATTTCTACATCTAGTTTCTGGACTCGACAAAAGAGGCCAATAAGGTACGTACGCGGCAATATTCTAGAAGACCAAAGCTTGCATCAAAAGAGTACAATGATTATAGATAGGCGTGTGTTGGAGTTCTCCTATTGGCTGGTTGTGCCGTACGACAAAGGAATCCTGGCCCCGATTTTTTTTAATGGAAAATAGAAGACATTGCTTTATTGCTTTCCATTTTCAACTTTGTAGGTACTGGTCTCCACTCTCCCGATACCCACATGGTAGGGAAGTTGTGATTGGTGAACACTTTTGGAATAGGTTAAATATTTTTTAATAAGTGGAAGGTATGCTATTCATTTCCCTTTGCCTGGTCCAAAATAGGTAGTTCATTCAACTTCTTTCAATTCCTTTGCCTGGTCTAAAAAAGGTAATTAAGATTTCTAGGTGGAAATTGTATCAATTTTAAATTTATGTGGTGAAGATGATGGTTTGATTTTGTTCATGTTTTTCTTCGGTTGGATTTCATGCTGCCTTATCCATGCTTAGATTTTATTCAGACCAAGTCTCGGTACTATTCACTTCAGCATAAAAACAATAAACAGTTAGATATGCACCTTTATAAAATATCAAAGATTTTTTATTGAATATGTATCTGTACTATTATCTTTTTTTTTTTAAATAAAATTTGGAACTATATCTGTACTATTATAATGATGAGATTTTTTTTTATATTTAACTTTTTATTAAAATTTTATTCAAGTAAAAAATATAAATATATGTCATTAATTTTTCAAAATTTTATCATAAATACAAAAGTATAGTTCTAAATAATTTTTATATTCTTATGATATATCTTCAAATGATAAATTCTAAGAACGAGTTTTAGAATAACCCTAGTAGTGTTTGGTTGAAGTTTTTGGTGGAGATGCTCATCTATTTGAGTTTGGAAATTGATGTTATCTTTGTTTGGTTGAGGATTTCTAAAAATTTACCTACCAATCTCTTTTGCCTAGCAATTGAGAATCAAGTGTAAAAATACACAAAATGCACCATGAAAGTTTACCAACTTGAACATGGTATTGCATATATAGTTGGACAAGTGAGAAAAAGGTGATAAAAATGATAACAATGTTATCTCTTTTAACTTAATTTTTCCGGTAAAATTTTTTTCAACCAAACAACTTTTTTAACATTTTCCTACCAAACTCATTTTCCAACCATTTTCCTCTCAATCACATTTCTCTAGTATTCAAAAAATTTCTCCTCAACCAAAACCAAATACCCCCTGAATGATTAAATTTTTTAAAACTAATATTTAAACTGAAAACTAGTACCACATATGTAACGTCTGGCAACTTGCAAGAGTCAACGACGGTCCCCACACACTAACACGAGACTTTTCAGCGTACTTTGTCCTCACTCGCGCACTTCACGGGAAAATTTCCCAGAATGTCAGCCATCTCAGAATTGACCCAAGTCAAGTATGCTTAATCATGATTCATATATGTCTCTCTCTTCTTTTATTTTAAAAATCAACAAGTTCACTTATATATAAGATGGGTTGAGAGACTAAACAACATTGACTCTCTAAATCAAAAACGTCAGTTCGAAGAAAGATCAGTCTCATAAGCAACTCAAAATAACTTGAACCTACAAAAATATCCTATGGGAATATCTTATCACGACTTTACTTCCTGACCATTGATCCATAAATAAATGGTTGAGATTTTTCATATGACATTGTCATATTAAAACTAAACACAAGTTGATCTTTTCTCATATCTTATAGTCAAAAAATAAATTAGGTTAAACAAAATGAAGGGTAGGTACTCTAATTAAATACATTTATAAGATATACTCTAAAAATATTAATTTATCCCATATTTTTTTTATAATTTAGCTCTCCGTTTTTTTTCTTCCCATTCAAGTCTATCTAAACCCCGTTTATAATTGCACTAATTATCCAAAAAAATTCTCTTGAATAGGAAATGAAGCTCGATCCACTTTTACTCCTGAACAATAAACAGCAAGTTTGCAATTTTATGTGAAAGTGAAGATTGAAATCGTTGTAAATACAAATAGAGAAAAAATAGTTGGATTATATGATGTGACCGAAGATAATATTTTGGCACATTCTCATTTAATCAGAATTTAAACAAACACAGACGAAAAAATATCACACAGAAGGTAGTGATAAAATATAATAAAACATGCGAGTAATTTTAAAGAAAAACAAGTAAAAGGTATTTAAACGTTGGGTTTTATTAATCTCCTTTTACATAAGATAGGTATCTTATGTTATAGAGAGAAATTAGGTGGGTCCCACCATTACAAAAAAAAAGAAAAAAAAAAAAAGTGAGATGCAAAAATCGAAGTGAGAGAAAATGAGATAAATTATTTCATATAAAAGGAGACTAATATTTCCCTTAAACGTTACATTAAAATGAATTATGTTATATGTAACCATGTCATTTCATGCAACAGTTATCGGGTGGTAATTGATTATCCTGTAGCATCCGTATTGACTAGTGTGCATCATTTTTATTTTTAGAATTAACCCAGTCTTAATTAAACTTGTAAAGAAATCATTTTTATTTTTAGAATTAACCCAGTCTTAATTAAACTTGTAAAGAATCAATTCAACTCAAAAGCTTAAGCTATTGAGTAAGGTTACGTTAATGGTTTATATATCTCAACACACCTCCTCACACGAGAGCCCACTGAGCTTGAGTGAACAATGCACGGGCTCACTTACCTATGCGAACAAAAAAATTCCACTTGAAAGAAAGTAAGGGGCGGTGAGGATCGAACCCGGTACACCGAAGCTCTGATACCATGTAAAGAACTAATTCAACCTAAAAGGTTAAGCTATTGGGTGAGATTATATTAATAGTTTTATATATCTCAACAAAAACTAATATGCATCTAACATACATAATCTTATATGAAAACGAAGCCAGGCATAACATAACACAATATTGGTAAATTCATAAGAGGCTATTTAGCATTAATTGAATAATCTGCTGTGAGGTGGAATACACACAGAAACAGTGAAGAAGAATATCTTCAGCTTTCCAAATATGGAGCACGTACGGCAAACATCATTTCCAAGATGCACTATCTCGATCGTGCTATAAAATATGGTTGCTTGAGTCCTATTTATATAGTTTATTGACTTTGTTCTATAATTCACGAAATGATAAAGAAAGTTATAAGAGATGAAAGCAAGAGACACAATGAAATATAAATGTAAAGAAAAAAAGAAAAAACACTTCGTGTGTGAAGTGTATGCCTAATTTTGGTGTCCAAGGAATGTCGCTATTTTTATTTTTTGCAAAAAAAGATTCATCAATATTCGTAAGTTGTGAAACGTTAACTTGGAAGAGGAGTTCACGTCTCTGAGTCGGGAAATCGTGGATGATTACCCCTGCATCGCGGTGGACACAGAGTTTCCGATCATTGTTCTTAGAAATTTCAAGAATGACTAAATGGGTCAGATTTGCTAGCTATTAAGGCCTATGGTCGTTTGATCATGCTAACAAGTTAGGTGGGATTCAACTTATACAATATTCAGATTAAATTTTACTCTATCCTAACCTAACTTATTTACTTCCTACCATCACTTACTGAGATATTTTTTATTTTAAATTCCTTTTTTTAAACTATTTATAATTCTTTATAAATAATTCAATTTTTTTCACCATGTTTAAAAAAAGAAAAAAAAAACATTTTTAATAATAAATAATTGATCCAAATTTAGTATAGATAAACCGTTAGTATAAAAAATTGAAAGAAAAGACTACCTATAAATTAATATATTTAATTAGAGATTAATATTTCTTATATATTTTATTTTTTACACACATATAAAAACATATGGGAACCCACTCCAATATATATATATATATGTGTGTGTATGTATGAAGATATAAAAATATATGAAACTTATATTATCTTTTTCTCTCTCCTCCTCACATGGATCCATATAGATCTTATATATTTTTATATATGTATAAAATATATATATATATATGAAAAAATTATTTCTCGAGTCATTGGAGATAACTTTATCTCCAATAAACTCAAAATAATATTGTTTTAGGTTATAAGATTAAATATTATGTGATCATATGAAAAGATTACAACTATATAAAGATGAATCATTAGTTAAAATTTTATAACAATATATTTTAATATATATTTTTTCTATTTTTTTTTATTATTAATCTACTTTTATATGATTCCAATTTTTTATTTGATCATATTATTTTTATTTTTATTTTCACATAAGAAAATCGAAATATCAATTTAATTGAAGGTGGAAGCAGCTGAGAGATGAAATCCACTGCGACGTCACCAAAAATCTGACGAAGATTGCTGTCGTTATCGAGCCGTCCACTTGGCTTATATCTCTCGTTTCTAATTATGGAAACCAAAAAGTCCTTTCTCACGCTCCAACTTCAACTCCAATTGGCACACGTGCTCTCTGGGACACCTGCCTCGCTTCTCCCGCCACCCTCCCTCTCGCACGTGTCTCCCTTACCTCGCACGTGTCTATCCTCAAATCTCCTATAAAGTTAACCACTTCGTCTCTGTCGTTTATCTCAACTCATACCACTCTGTTTTTCTGGAATTTGCTACTCTTTTTGTTACTTTCACTTTCTCACTCTCACACAACACAACACAAAGCACGAACACGTGTGGAGGGTGTTGTATCGCGAGGCGTGCAACTGGTGCATACCGTATGTCCAAGGTGGACACGATAATGTTGAGGTTTCGCCCCATAGCTCCCAAACCCGTCGCCGGCGCCGCCACTTCCGACGGTTCTTTGTTGGAAAGCGGCGACGCCTTCTCCAGATCTGCCAAAAGGAAGCACGCAAGAGTTAACGGCGGAAACAAACGGTGCAATCGGAGGTTCCGGCGGAGGACGACCGCGCCTCCACCGGTGGTGACTCTACCGTTGCTTCCAGAGACTCCGGATCCGAAGGATCCACCTGAAGCAAAGAGCAGGAACAACGTGCCGGTGTTGCTGAGTTTCGAGAATCCTCGTTGGTTCGGCGGCGCGAGGGATCCACCGGCGGTGGCGTTGGGAGGATCGGTGGTGACGGTTGAGTGCGTGACGGACACGTGGCAGGATGACGGTGAGTTGTTAGGGAATAGGGACGAGGAGCGAAAGGTGAAGCTGGGAGAGGACACGTGTCCGGGGTTCATATCTGACGGTTACGGGAGGGTGACGTGGACGAATAGGGCGTACAGGGAAATGGTTGGAGAGGAAGGAGTATGGCTTGCGATGAAGGTGACGGTACCGTATCCGTACCGAGGGTTCACGTGCAGGGTAAGGGTGCAGTACGCGTGTGGGAAAGAGAGAACGGTGTTATCTGATGTATGGAGAATGGAAAGTGGTGATTTTGCATGGAGATTAGACGTTAATGCTGCTCTTAACTTAAGCCTAACCTTATAAACTAGTTTGCTAGCTAGGTAAGGGTTCACTCGGCGAAACTAAAACGATAGCGTTTAGCTGAGAACCGTGAATATATGTACGAGGCCTAGCTATATATATAGTAAGCTTGCTTGGCTGTACAGTGTAAATTAACGCAAGTGCGTTTGGTGATCATGGGAACATTAGTTTGGACCAGGTGAACTTCTCTTCGTGAATCGTGTAATGTTTCTGAAATCGCACTACTAATTAAAGCTTTTCTGTTGATATCTTATCTTTCTCAGTATTTTTTTATTTTTGTTTTAAAACTTCAGATTTTTGTATGTTTATTTTACTTACTTGATCATATATTATGTTTTACTGATTTTATTTTTTCTTTATATATAGTTTCAACTGATGAAAGTGTGATTTAACAATATCTATTTAAAAAGAAATAAATAGAAAAATATATACATAATATCTATGCCGATAACTTAATGGTGTTGTGTCTTGTCCTGTAGTTTAGTTTAGAGTAAATATCATTTTTAGTCTTTAGCAAATTTCATGATCAATGATGCCTGTTTTAGTTTCTAGCAAATAAAAAGACTTATATTAGTTCTTTTTTTTTTTTTTTGATAACAGACTTATATTAGTCCTTAAAAGGACTAAAATGGGTTTATTTTGAATTTCTTAGAGACCACAATGGAATTTTTTATTTGCTAAGGACTAAAACGGGTATCGTAAAATTTGCTGAAAATCAAAAATTATTTTACTCTTTAATTAATTTAGTGATGATGTGCTTGAGCTATAGTATTATTAATAAGAAGAAAAAGAGAGTGAGATCGAGATGGGTGGGACAGGTGGTGGAGAGAGGTAGGCAAACCCTGTAACACTGTTGCGTAAGGTTTTTATTGGTTGGCTGGGGTCATTGTCAGTCTGGTAGATAAAATATTGGCTTTTTATTTACTTGACATTCCAATATGCCATTAACCTCCTCGTAAGTTGCTGATTGCACCACGTTGCTGCATCTAAGAAAAGCATGCTTTTGTGGCTTTTTCCTTATCAGGATCAGTATCTGATTTCGCTTTTATATATGTTTCCAATAAGCGAAATAGTAAAATTTACGCAGTGTCTAAATCACGAGTGTCAGATAATTTCGTGTTGCTGCTGACTCCAATCACACAATTTCTCTTTCCTTTTTATATATCGAGAGAAAAATAAACATAATTTCAGCCTTTCGTTTGGAGAAAAAATGGCTATATGATAAAATAAGGGTTATGTTTATCTCAATTTACATGAGATAAACAACTTTTTTACACACATAAAAAAGGATTGTTATCAAAAAAAAAAAAAAAAAAGGATTGAGTTTTGTCATTTTTTTTTTCTCTCCTCTTATATGTGAGTTTCACTTATACTTTTATTTTTATAACATGAGATAATTTTTTTATTACAGTATAAGAAAAATATATCCTATAAAATAAAATAAAAATGTGGCACGCATGAATTTGACTAGACGCAGGCACGCAGCGCAGACATACGTACACAGATGTGGTGGACTGGAATGTCTTTATTGGGCAAACTCTGGTCTTGAGGGTTTCAGTTCCTATTTAGATATATTAGTCAGTGGATATAAATATAGGGAAAATACTTTTCTATGTTGATAGAAAAAGTATTTTTCATGTCACTCATACATCGATATTGTGCATTATTTTTGTATTTTTATTTTAATTTTTAAATGGTGAAACCTACCTTAAACATGTGTGTAGTAGAATTTTTTTCCTCATGTGATAGGAGAAAAACAAAGCCCGTAAATATAACTCGGTGGCTAAGCCCTATGTTTTATTTTGCTTTGGGAGTTGATTTAGCGGACGAGCATGCAGCTGCTCTAAACTCATGTCTAACTGGTGAACTGCGATGGGTGACCAATAACGTGAAGCTCTACGCTAGTGGGGGAGCCACTTTAGGTGTGGGGGAGTCTTCGCCTTAGATAAAATTAAAAAATTAACAATGTTTTTAATGTGGCTAAATAATAGTGATTAAATAAACACTGGTTAAATAATTTTTTATATTTTAGTGTTTGATGTCAGTTAAATTTTCTTTGGCCCTGGGAGGCCGGCTCTGCCATTGCTTATACTATCTTCAAAATGTGATGTGTTTTTATTATTATTATTATTTTGAAGTGGAGGGGCTTGTGAATTGAGTTGCCAAATCTGCCACTGCTATCAATTATTTTGCGCTGTTTATTTTACAGTTTATTTGTAAAATGTTTTAGAGAAATGATTATATTTTAGTATTTTGTTTGAAACTAGTTGTATATATCGACGTAAAATGGACCATACATGATAATCATTATGTTAGTTTAAAAATTATTTTCGTAATAAATTATATATATATATCGTAAAAGTTTTGTAATCATTGGTTTGGGTGTTCTCGTAATTAATTAGGAATAATAATTCCTCATATCAACCTACATGTTTTTGTATAATTAGTTTTGATTTTGTTATTCTCAACATAGTTGTAACTCATAAAATTGGTTTTGATCGTGGGTTTAAAGAGTTGAAAAGTTTTTTTTTTTTTTTTTTTGGTTTGGATGATAAGAGATTAAAAGTTAACTATATCTAGTTATGCATTATACATTTTAAAATTTATATAATGTCATAATTATATTAATTTTTATGAAATTTCATATATAACCCAAGGATAGGGCTATTAGCATTTTTAATGGATCATTTTCATTCTCAGCTATTCAATTTTCATTTTACTTTTTAAGCTTATCTTAATTAATTTTAAGTTTTTATGATCAATAAAAATCAAAAAATCATTTTCTTTTACGAATTACCTTACCTTATTCAACGCTATATATATATATATATATATATATATATATATATATATATATATATATAACATGCATTAAATTTATTAAATAATGAGTAATGTCCTGATAACTATATATCACAACAATTAATAGAAAATAATGTGGCATTTACAAATGAATTTTGATAGCAAGGGAGTAGGGGATCCAAATTTAATGACGACTATGTATATAACATTCCAAGTAGAGATGGCAAACTGGGTGGCCTGTCTCGTCCCGCTTCACCCCGTCATCAACCCGTCAAAAAATGAGTCATTCCGTTCTGCCATGTTTTTGAAAGTGGGTTGAAAAACTCAGTCCGCCCTGCCCTGTTTGGCAAGTTGGGCGGGTTGGTCCGCCTATGCCCGCCAAAAAATGAGCCTGCCCTGCCCCGCTTTTGAGATGGGTTGAAAAACTCAGCCCGCCCCTCCCTGTTTAGCGGGTGGGGCAGGTTGGTCCGCCGAGCCGAACCCGATTTGTCATCTCTAATTCCAAGTCCACCGAAATTCTCATAAAGATCCCTAAATAAACTCTTGTCCCGGAATTTTATAAGGGCTAAAGAATAATAACACATCGTTAACTTATATAGAATCAATTATTTTATTAGTATATTCAAAAAAATATTATTTACTAGAATTTATTAATAATTATTTTCACAAGTAGTAGTATATTATTTAAGACCATCCTTAAGACCAACCCCACCCCCCCCCTCCCGGGAGGTCATTTTTGGCAGTCCCACCCCTTGTGGGCCTTGTCCAAAAAGGGGAAAAAAAAAGACTGTGAAGGAATTTTAAAGAAAGATAAGAATATAAGTGGAAGAGAAATTTTCTTTTTTAGGTAAAGGACCATCCAATGAATAAAGGGCCGGGTGCATCTTAAAAAAATCCCGGGCCATTAAAAAAAACACACGCAAATATTCTTATTTTTTAAGTTAAGAAAATTTTAAAATAGTCATAAAAATAATTAGAATTCATAAAGAAATATATGCAATAATTTTTATTTTAAAAAAGCCACGATCGATGAAGGAAGATTTATTTGTAAAAGAAATTATCTCCTCTTTTTATTTTCTTTATTGTCTTTTGTGCAAATATATATTCTCTCTGTTTGTTTGAGTGCAAATTTCAATTTGAGTATCAAATTCTATCTATTCCTCTCTTTTTATAATAGATATTTCGTACACGGATATATTATGTTTTATAACTCTAATTAATGAGCATAAATGGCTAGATTTTCAAATAATTTTTATTTTACGATTAATTCCATTTATATCGTTCTTACTATAATATTCATCAATTATTTAAAAGCAATACATGCAACATTGTATTCTTATAATTTTAAAGCTAGTTATAATCATTTTTGAAGGATATATAAATTTAATAACGAATGTGAATTAATTGTAACTAGTTTGAGATATGAACAAGCCCATCCTTTTTGAGATAACTATGAATTTGTAGAAGCGAGGGTGTCCTTGGGTGCTGCTGGTTGCGGTCAAACAAAGCACCGACACGCGATTTGTTTTGTTTTAAAAGAGGCGTGTCTTCGACACACGGTCAATGCTTTGACATGTTTTTTGACATGCAATAATTTTTTTTCGACACACGGTTAACGTTCCGACATGCTCGACACATTTTTTTAGGTCTTAATTTTATTTTATTAACTAAATATAAAAAAATTAATTTAATAAATTAATTTTTTTCTGTTATGAAATTTGACAAGAAAAGATACGAAAAATTGTTTTTATTTATATTTATGTTATGAAATTTGAATATTTGATTGTTATATGACTTATTATGTGCTGTTATATGTATTAAATATAAATTATATTATATACATTAAAAATATTATTTAATACCAAAATGAGTCCAACATATCAAAAAATAATATTTTTTAAAATTATCGTGTCGGGTGCCATGTCCGTGTTAATGTCGGTGTATCGTAGTTGCAGTCCTTGGTTATATAGCCACCAAGGAATCTCCTTCCGTAGATTCAACCCAGTTCTGGAGAATTTTACCTTTGGGAGCAGCTGGGCTCCCACTCCATATTTACATTTTTAAGTACTCGACACCACAGCGCTTCGGTTTGGGTCATCAGCCCATATGCCACTTTCATGATCATAACTTGGTTCATCCATCTCATTTGTCTAATCCCCAAGCCACCGTCATGCTTCCTTCAACATAAGGTAGACCAAGACTAATTAAATTAAAGACTTGAGGAATCAGTGCGGTTTCATTGATGGTCAGACAGTCATCTTGTATTGATATTGATGAGATGGAAAACTTGAATTCCGTGGCATTTTTAGTTTTTAAATTTTATTCAAACAGCTTTTAAAACTGATAGGCAACCACAAAATCAATCTTGTAACTATTCTTCTTTTCTTGTCAAAGAAATATTTTTTGGGTTGATGATTACTTTTAGACCTATTTGGAGCACATAACAGAG